GGGATCGCTTTTGCATCCTATGTTGATGTTCTGAATGCACTGTTTCGTCATGGCTGCTGTTTTACATATTTGCATATATCAAGTTAATTAAGTGCTCTCAAAAGCTTCATTGATGTTTCTTTCTTTAGGGGAGGCTTCGTCCTTGATGCAGCCACACCTGGAGAATTCATTGGTGGGTTCCAAGCACGACCTTCATGTAAGGTCCATCCTAAAGCCTATGCATTTTCACAAAAAAAATGCCTCTCATCCTCAATGCTAACTGGTTTCCTCGATCCAATCTTTGGGCTGAGATCTTCCAAGACGATGACCCGTCCTTGAAGATGTTGCCCTTTACTTTTTCCTGATGAAAACATTGAGAGCTCTTTTCTGTCTTCTGGTTGCATGGTTTTGATATTTGAGTTATGTGGTGATGCAACTAACATAATTATGTTGCCCTTCTCCAATAATTTGTTCAAGTCCTTCTTGGATAACGATGGGGAAGTTGGCCATCACCATGTCATGGGGAAGTTGGATCCACAATCCCCATGACATTGAGCAGAGCAGAGCCTGAGCTGCATAATTTGGGGGATGACATTAACAATGTTGCTCTTATGTCCAAGTGCACCACTGTGGGGAGGATGGTCTGCGGCATGGAAATTGATTTTCTCCAAGTGTTTGATATGATTCTCCAAGTGGCTGTGGATGGGAATTTGAGGCCGGATCAGATGGACAAGAAGGTGTTTGTGCTCACCCGTTTGGAAAACTTTGATAGGGCTGGTGGTAGTTGCTGGGAGTCGGATTATGGGGCATTACAAAAAAATCTTAAGGAGAAAGGCTAAGGTGATGCAATGCCACATATTGTGTTTTGGCATCTCGACCCCTACGAGACGGTGCCTGTGTGTTGTCATCAGCGACCACGGGTGGCCATAATTTGTTCAAGTCCTTGGATAATGATGGGGAAGTTGGCCCGCACCATGTCATGGAAGCAGCCATCTCTGGCCTACGGTATCAAAATTTGGTTGTAGTCGACTGAGAGACTCTTTATTGTGACAACAATTTCTAAGTTTTTGCATTCTATCAAAAGCTTTTCTCATTAGATCAACTTCTAGCTTGTAACTTGCTTGCTTGACTTGTCTCACATAAGATCAAAGTTCTAGTGATGATGACCGTATGGAGCTGTGCTACTTTCGGGCATGAGTTTGGAAGCCTTTTATCCAGCTATTGATGACGGTTTCTGTACTATGATTGGAGAAGGATCAGGAGCATGTTACAACATTAATGTCCCCAGGGAAAATGGTCTGGGTGGGGACGCAGACTATTTTGCAGTTCGGGACCACATTTTGGTTCCTGACTTAATTATACTCTCTGCTGGATTTGACGGAGGTTGGTCAATTAACCATTCAATGATTAGCAGGAGTAACTGATCTGAAGCTCCATTACGTAAGCGATCAGAAAGTGCAAGAGCGTCCATGAGTTTTCCTTCATCTATCAATCTGTTAAATGACTGCAATCAGTGACTGGAAATAGGAATGCCACCTTCAATTGTAAGCATGATGACAAAATTATCTGGAAAGCAAACAAGAGAAGAACAAAATTGCAGCCAATAACACACCCTCCCTTCCCTTAAAAAAAAATAGAAAAAAAAGAGGCAATTCCAGATAAATATGCTCTCCAAAACCAGATAATTTATGCATAAAAGTCCATAGAAACTAAAGTATTTTTCTCATAAATTTCCTTATTTTTTAGAAGTCTTCTGTCAGTCCATTGCTTTTTCAGCACTAGAACCAGTCATACGATCAAGCTTTATTTCTAGTGGAAGATCTCTGAGTATGTATCTTAGTTGATCGTACAATTCGAAAAACTGACTTAGCAATGTGAGTCCCACCCTAGAATTCAAAGTAAATATGCCAGAATGTATAGCAAACATTCATACAGAACACCGAAAGAAGATAACAATAGAAGTCAACTGAAGAAGTGATCAAGTAATTGTCCATTTGAATGAATTTTGAAACAAGACCGAACTACAATACCGTTGTACGACTTTCTCATACGGTTCTTCATTTCTCGAATCAAAAGTAAGGAAAACTGAAGTGTCAAGCTCCGCAACGTCAGATTTTGAAGAATCATCCCAAGGTTCAGTAGCTGCACCATCTTGCCCACTGGAGTCTGGTAAAGCTGTTGAAACACTGCTGCTACCAACAATGTCATCAACTTCTGACTCAGTATCACTATCAATCTCACATAGTCTCTTGCTCCACCGTCACCATCAGGTGCCTGCAGCAATCCACTGTGAAGGAGCTCGATATAGACTTAACACTCTAAGCACTTACTGCAGCTAGAAGACCTAACTGGGAGCGCAACGAAGAAAAATCCAGATCATGTATTGTAGAAGCCTCATCATCAATAGCACAAGAGACTACTGATGATGAGGCAATTTCATGCAACTGAGACATATAAGAACACCCATAATATTTACCTTTAGAAAGTAAGATGTCAGCAATTTCATATTAACTGATTATGTACTTTCATCTTCAAATATCAGCATCTATTTCTGTCATTTGGAATAATGAGGTCATCATATTTTGTTTGGCCTGGGTGATCATTATAGTTTATAATCGTTATAAACTACCATTTGCAAACTAGTGATCTATAACCAATATCCAAAAGGAAATTCATGCACAAGTACCAATTGATCATCATATAAATTCCCAGAGAAGAAAAGGCTTGTAATTCTACAAGATATCTTTGAAGACGAAAAGAACAAAGAAATAGTTTTCCTTTCTTTGTTTTCTTTCTAGCCCATCTATCTTGTAGGTTTTCTTTCTCTGTTCTGAATAAGATATAGTTTTCCTTGTAAAAACAACAAAGAAATAGACCAGAACAAGATTATTTTGAGGATTTTGAGGACTTACCCAAAGTGGACTTTGATTTCCAGTACGAAATTCTCAACAAAAGGGTCTAACAAGTGATCTTCGCATGCTATTTGTTATTTGGCAGACAACATCAACACATATTTTCAATTCCATGATGACCAGAATTGATGCAGGCAACAGAAGAGGCAAGATCAAGTCGATAACATAAAGAATCACAACGATATTTTCGAAAAATCAGGCTAGCGCAGTGCCTAGGCGGCCAGAGCGATCTGTGCAATATTAATTAATATTTTTCAGACTTTAATTTTCATAGGGATAATTTTTTTTTTTCTTGGAATAGCTAATTAATTAATATTTTTAATTGAATTACTAATTAGCTTTTAGTTATTATTTGTTTCATAAATTACTTATCAAATAGTAATTAATTTTTATGACTTATTTTGTGCCCATAAAAACCAAGAAAGTGGTTGCAACATAGTAAGTATACATCACAAAAGAACCAATACATACATATAGTATACTTGATTTGCTTGTGAACTTAGTTCTTGATTGACTGGTTTGTAGTGGTTACATGTCCTCAAAATACACAATTGATGGGTTCTACTCGATAAAATTCGATGTATATAGTTTTGGTGGGTTGGTGCTAGAGATAGTGAGTGGAAAGAGAGAAACATAGGATTTACTTAGTGCCCGTTCGGTAAAGTTTTCGGACAACGTTTTCTTAGAATATTTTTAGAGAATGAAAACAAGAAAATGAATTTGCATTTTCAGGAAATGAAAATGCCTCTGGTAGATTAATTAGAAAACATCTTCAGAAAACAAAAACAATGAAAACGTGTCTGGTAGTACAATTTGAAATAATAATATGTGAGTTATTTTTATGAAAACGTTTCCCATGAGAATGAAAACAACTTTTTTTTGTTTTCTACAAGTACACATGAACTTGTTTTCATTTTATGAAAATATTCTAAGTGTTTCTGTTTTTGGGCCACATAACGTGTTTTTGCCTCATTTTTGTTCTTTGAAAATGAAAACAACCCCTTAAAACGTTACTGAACAGGCCCTTATTGTTTGTTTTCGTTTCTTCTTTTAAGTAAGCATGATGATTTTGAACTTTTGATAAATTCTTTTAGGCATGGATGCTATACACAGAAGGCCGGTCCATTGAAGTGCTTGATACATGAATAGGGGACTCAGGTGATCTACATGAAGTTGTTAGATTATTTCATGCATGTAGGTCTTTTCTGTGTGCAGCGTAACCGAGGAGATAGACCGAGCTGAGCATGCCACTTACAGTTCTAATGCACGTAGGTCTTTTAATTATTATTTCTTTAGTAATATTTTAATTGAGTAATATCTTAGTCTTATTTAATTAATATAATTACTAATTAGTTTTTAGTTTTTTTTTTTGGGTGAATAATTAGTATTTAAATATTTACTTTGTTTCATAAATTACTTATCAAATAGTAATTAATTTTTATGAATTATTTTGTGCACTTAAAACCAAGAAAGTGGTTGCAGCATAGTAAGTATAAATCACAAAAGAACCAATACATGCATATAGTATATTTGATTTGCTTATTAAATTAGTTTTTGATTAACTGGTTTGTAGTGGTTACACGTCCCCAGAATATGCAATTGATGGGTTCCACTCGATAAAATCCGATGTCTATAGTTTTGGTGTGTTGGTGTGTTCGGTTCATTTTTACACATGATTTATCATATTATTCACCTAATATTTTGAGTTAGTTCTTGATATTTTATAGCTTTTTACTTCATTTTTGTGTTTTCATAGGTTTTACCTTGGTTAGAATGAAAATGAGCTAAAAGTGCATTATTGGTTATAAATTCTGATTTTGTTCATTTTCGTAGGTCAACTTCTTGGCCTTGGATCAGCATGCTCTGATGCTCGGGTGAAGATCTTCATGAAACTTGTTCCAATGGATGTTAACTACAACATATCCAAATTTGAGCTCCATTGGACAAGTATAGCCTATCCAACTGATCCTACATGTTACAGCAGCTCTAGAGATTTGTCTTGGGCTAGTTTTTACCTCCATAGTGTCATCTTTATTCTTCTTGTTACCATACCATTTGGTAACAAGAAATTACTTTGGTTAAGAGATATTTTTTGAAACAATGAGCATCTTTGTGAAGACAAGAACAAAAGAAGCCCATCATGGCAAGGGGACAAGGTTTAAGGCTTTAACAAAGGTTGATTTTTATATTAAAAGTAAAAGCTGGAAAGGAGGAGAGAAGGGAGCAAAGAAGGAGGTAGCCATTGGAATCTGAATCCATTCTATCATTCTACAATTTTGCAGAGATTTTTGGGAGCTTAGAGCTAGAGAGCTCAAGAGGAAGACAAGGGCAAGATTTCCACCATTGAAGACCTTGAGCTTCCATCACTTTCACAAAATCTGTAAACTCTTTCTAGTTATATTTTGAGTTTGTATTTGAAATAAGTATGAGGAACTAAACTCCATAGCTAGGGCTTAGGTTGAAGCCCTAAACATGAATTCCTTATTGTTTTGATGCTTTGAATGTATGAATTTTTAGATGTTGTTGATGAATCCCATTCACTAATTGAATCTTATGATATGTGTTTGCTTCCTTTGATTAATCACCTTAGGTTGTATGCATGTAGCTAAAGTTGAGAAGTTGTGTAAGATACCCAAGAACATAATTTCTAATTAGCAACAAATGATTGAGCTTGTTTAAGTGAGCATCATGTGAATTGGTTTCTTGACAACAATTGATGAATTCCTCTTCACTAAAATAATCTATCATTGATGTATGTTTTCCTTTGATTGATTACCTTGGAAGCATGCTTCTTGAGGTTGTTGGGATTATGTGTTTCTTCATGTTTTCCTAAGCAATAAATGGATGAAGTAAAAATCATTCATGTGAATTGGTTTCTTGAACACCTAATGTAAACATCATGCTATTAGGGTTCTTGTGATGTTCATATTCTCTTTGAACTTAATGGGTTTTTCTTGTAATTGAATTGAAGTACTAAGCACACCTAGATTTGGTTATAGGGAAGGCAAAAGTATTGTAGCACTAGCCCTGCACTTTACGTATATTAGAGAGAATCAATGCGTATTGAGCCACTAGTCTCGGTCTTGATTGCGAACATCTTCATCAATATGTTTAGAGTTCATTACTTGAGTGTCCATGAACATTGGTAGAGTTGTTTAGGGTGGATTCCTAAACCCTAGTGTTTGTTACATTTTAATTTCACATTTTGATTTTCATTCTATGCCATTCTCATTTAAGTTTAAAGTTCATTTACTTTCAAGCATTAGAATTAGGTCACTCAAATCAACACAAACCCCCCCCCCTTTTGTGTTGTTGGAAACGTTGTGTGTTTTCTTCATTGAATTCTGTTTATTTCTGTAATTGTTTTTGACTATTGGTTTGAGTTGTGTTCCTTGTTTTTCTGTGCTGAATCCAACCATATAAAGAACTTGAAATTTGGACAAACGGTTGGAAAGTTATAAGTCAAAAACTGGACAGATGTTGAAATTGAAAAACAGAGAAAACGAATCTGCCAAAAAACGACCGGTCGTTACTGTTCAGGCGACCGGTCTCCAGCCAATCTGCCAGAAAATGACCGGTCGTCACTGTTCATGCACTGTTCACAGATAACAAACAGGTGATACAGTGGTGATAAAAGAGTGATAGAAAGTGTTGTTTGTGTTTTTCTTTGGTTTCTTGTTTTGTTTATTTTCTTTTACCTTTTTTTACTCATTTTTAGTTTCCAATTTGTTTTATGCATGTGTGGTGTGTTAAATAAGTGTTCTTTACGTACTTAAATTAGAACTTGTAGGAAGCCTACAGTTCTTCGTGGGATCGACCCCATACTTACATAATCTATACCTCAATAGATTCGTGCACTTGCGGGTATTTTTAATTGGTTGTTTGCACATTAATTTGTGTCAGTTAACAATACAACATGGTGCTAGAGATAATGAGTGGGAAAGAGAAATCTAGGATTTAATCATTGCTTGTTTTTGTTTCTTCCTTTAAATAAGCACAATGGCTTTGAACTTTTTATAAATTCTTTTAGGCATGGATGCTATGCACAGACAGCATGTCCATTGAAGTGCTTGATACATCAATATGGGACTCAGGTGATCCACATAAAGTTGTGAGATTAATTCATGTGTGCAGCGTAACCCAGAAGATAGGCTGAGTGTGCCTGTTATAGTTCTAATGCTAAGTGGTGAAGGGTGCAAATGTTAATCGGGATGGTCTTGTCACGTTGCTGCGCGGATGCAAAGATCTGGTGATGTTGGACGCTAGTGATTGTTCTGGTTTTGATGAGAACGACGATGAAATATCAAAGCTTGCATCTCATATTAGTAAATTTATGTGCGAGGGTTCTGAATTTCTTGAATTTCTTCGTGGAATGGACAATTTTGTTCTTGTTGATGGATACTCATTCCATCTGCATGTGGAGGCACTACTACAAAAAACGAAATAGACGACGGGGATCCACCGTCGTTGTAATGCTTTGAAAACTGTCGTTAAATCGACCACCATCTTTTTGGGTGTCAAACTACGACGGCTTTTCACCGTCGTTGTTTATCTGTAAAGACGACGGTTTTTAAAGAAAATCGTCGTTGTTCAGAGGTAAAGATCGTTAATTATAGGAGGAAAGACGACGGTTTTATTAAAAACCGTCGTGTATTGTAGGTTAAGATGACGGTTTTTTTATGAAAACCGTCATCTTTACATATAATAGACGACCCTTTTTTTTTAAAAAAACGTCATCTTTACATATAATAGACGACCCTTTTTATAAAAACCGTCGTTAATTATCTGTAAAGCCAACAGTTGGTTTAGAAAAACCGTCATTAATTATCTGTAAAGACCATGATTTATTATGAAAACCGTCGTCTAATAAGTTCCCAAACTACTACATTTTAGTTCTTTTTGATTTCATATGATGCTATACAACGATTTTAACTGGAAAACCAACCATAATTCTTTAATAAAACTTGAAGATTCAATAGTTATTACATAGTTAATCAATCTTTATTCTACAACAAACATAATTCCTACCAATTAAGTAGTACGATCTTTTCCTAACAAGACCTACGTACTCCTAATCCAAGCCTTCCTCATCCAAATAGACAAATGATGCACAACTGAAGTCTCCTCCATCATCCCTGTAAATAAATCAAAATGACAAAGAGAGAAAAAAAAAAAGAAGCTAAGATTATAAACATATAAAATTAGGTGGAAGAGAAATTTTACCATTGGACCATATTTCCATAGAAAACTTGTAAAATGAGCATAAGATAGACCATCGAGAACCTGCAAAAGGAAAATTATATAAAGAAAATGATGGTGAAAAGAGAAGGTAACAAATTTTCAACAACAAAAAAACATACGACTCACATAGAAAACCTGCAAAAGAAAAAGTTATAAATCTGCAAGCTTCCTCCTCATCTCCTGAGAACCAAATCAGAAAATCTAAAAAGAAACCAGAAATAAAAAAAAATATGTAAACAAACCAGACAAATCAAGAGAGACAGAAGATCAGAAATCAGGGAGACAAAGAACATACCAGAAACGCAAAGAGACTAATCCAGAATTCACTAGCAAGATATAGAAGGGTATTGAGAGATTAGGTCACTTTCAAATCAAACCTTTCATGAGGGGGTTGTAGAGAGCTCAGGAGGGTTTCAAGGAGGAAGAGATAAGGTTTTCAGAGACGGGGGAAAATCTGAAAATTTGTCGAGCGCGAATTCACTTAAGCAGCCTTTTTTTAGCGTGTTTTAAAAGACAACGCTTGTTAGTGAGAGATAAGGTTTTCAAAGACGGGGGAAAATTTGAAAATTTGTTGAGCGCAAATTCACTTAAGCGGCCTTTTTTTAGCGTGTTTTAAAAGACGACACTTTTTTAAAAAAACCGTCATCTTTACATATAATAGACAACCCTTTTAAAAAAAAAAACCCGTCGTCTTTACATATAATAAACGACCCTTTTAAAAAAAAAAACCGTCATCTTTACTTCATAATAGACGACCCTTTTTAAAAAAAACCTTCACATATAATAGACGACCCTTTTTAAATAAAAAACCGTCATCTTTACATATAATAGACGACCCTTTTAAAAAAAACCGTCATCTATTACATATAATAGACGACCCTTTTTAAAAAAAAACCGTCATCTTCACTTCACAATAGACGACCTTTTTAAAAAAAAAATCGTCATCTTTACATATAATAGACGACCCTTTTAAAAAAAAAACTGTCATCTTTACTTCACAATAGACGACCATTTTTATAAAAAAAATCGTCATCTTTACATATAATAGACGACCCTTTTAAAAAAAAAAACTGTCATCTTTACTTCACAATAGACGACCCTTTTTAAAAAAAAACCGTCATCTTTACATATAATAGATGACCCTTTTAAAAAAAAAACTGTCATCTTTACTTCACAATAGACGACCCTTCTTTAAAAAAAACCGTCATCTTTACATATAATACACGACAGTTCTTTCAAAACAACCATGTCTTTACCGAAAAAAGGACACTTGATTTTTAAAAGACGACGCTTGTCATACCTGCTGTCGTTGTTTTTTGGTCAGATTTTAACTCTGAAGAAAACCTTTTTAATAAGACGACGCTTTTTTATTTGTGTGCGTTGTTAAAAAAAAATATTCAACAGTACCTCCGTTTTTTAGTTGTTTAAGTCACTTATCCACGACGGTTTTTTGTTACCGTCGTCTTTTTCTGGTCGTCTTTTTCAATTTTTGTAGTAGTGAGGAGACATGGGATGAAATGCTCAATGATTTGCGCGATGCGTTCAATGATTTGGGCGATGTGGAATGAAGAGCTATTTGATTGTACTAAGCGATATCTTATCTTTTTTTATATTTACAACACTAATGAGCAATTATGTGTGTTGAGTGTGGTGTGGTGTTCATATTGTGTTTTTGGACATTGTAGTTTAATGAGGGCTTGTTATAAGTTCCTATCTCGATTTCATTATAAGATGTGTGCTTCATTTGGAAAATGGCCATTCCAAATTCATTCGCTACATTTTCTGTAATATCACATGTGCTCGCGATTGTTCTTCAGCCTTGCCTTTGCCTCTATTTCTATCTTAACTTTCCCTTCCCACCAAAGGTTTTCCTGGCTAAATTTCTTCGAGGTTGAGGAAAAATTTCTTGGTGAAAGAATGTTGGTTGCACCAGCATAACAACAAGCACAACCAGTATACAAATGAAATAATATGTTATATTTAAGAATGAGATGCTACTTCTCATCTAAAACATATTTGAATTCTAATTTAGAATAGTTCATATATCAATGTCATATGACCTCTGATACCTTCAATTGATTTCAAAACATAGCTGCAAACTTCTTTTCGTTGCCTCGTTAGACTATTTTGTATCCAAATTTTCATCTACATAGAATATAGCGCGAACTAATATCTCTAATAGCAAAAGAGCGTGGTTGTCAAGTGGAATGAGAAAAAAGGCTGTAATTGGGTTTAGTTCATAATTACAATGGATACAATTTAGAAAGTAAATTGCTATACAAGCAATTTTATACTATGAAATTCAACATTCTTTGATCCACAATATGTTGGCAGGTCCTTATCTTTTTTTGTTGTTGTTGGTATTTATGGGTTTAACCTGTATTATTTGTTATAAATAAAATTTCATTTTTTATTCTTGCCCAATGGGCAAATAGCTGAAATCATTAGAATGGGTGGTATTAGAAAGAATTTAAATTCTCATTCCCCAATATCGCTTTTATAAATAAAATAATTGAAGAAATAACTCTAGCCCAATGGGTTAAAGTGGTATTGTAGCCCTAAACACTAAATTGTTATGAAAAAATTGTATATTTAAAACGTATAGCCGCCCGGCCATACTTTCTAAATACATTCGGATATTTTAAACGTATAGCCTAAATATTAATATATTCGAATATTTTAAGAGTATAGCCGCACGGCTATACTCGTTAAATATATTCGAAACGAACACGAAGCTTGCACTCGCAGAGGACGGAGCTTGCAGACGCAGTCACAGCCATTTCGCTTCTCCATCAACTCAAGCGGTTTCGGCTGCTTCGTTCTCTCTATTCGCCACCTAAAAAAGACCCAACCCGCCTAGCGCTTGCCTAGCCGCCTAGCAGCCCGCCTAGCCGCCTAGCGCCCGCCTAGGCCCATTTTTTGAACACTGCGATTGACTGAAAGTCCGAAACCCGAAATTGAAAAAGTTTAGCTGCAAATTTGAGCTTGAGATTGAGATTGTGAAGCCGAAGCAAGCACAAGTCAGGTCCATAGAAGAAGAGATCATGAGACTCTTAATTCATCTAATTCCATTCTTCTCCCTGTTTGCCGCCTTATTCTCTTCTCTCTAGGCTCTCCCCCAACCAGGTTTTTGAGGTTGAGGCAATGACCCTTCAATTTTGAAGGGTAGCAAAGATTATTCAGCAAACATCTCCAATTTTGAAGGATTCAAAAGGTGACAAATATTTTAATATGATCCCTTAAGAATTTGTGTCTAATACTGGTTAATATGCCGTTAGAGAAACAGATATAGAGGTGTGCATATCACTGTGCTGGTTGTAACATTTGGCTAATATGTACCTACAGGAACTATGAATATGTCTGTTTTCTAACTGTCCAGCATTCAGTCCCATATAGCGTGGCTGGTCTAACAGATGTTCTATAAACTTAGCTTAACAAAACCCTCCATTTTACCTATCGTGCTTTGATTCTATGAGCCACATCATCTCCATTCTCTCCTTGTATATATGATTGAGTACACGCTAGATAGTGAAAGTTTTTGCTTTTTGATATACTCTTAGTGGTGCAATTGGTTGCTCTTATGTCTTCGTCAGAACCAAAGGCTCCTCTTGGTTAGCAGAATTCAAAGAAATATGGTTCCAGTGACCATCTAGTCGATGCAACTTTGCCTGCTACTGAAGTCAAATCATCAGAACTGAGTATAAGGAATGGTACAAAAAATCTTCACTATTATTATCAACAGTGTCTTCTGCATCACGATTCTCTTTTTTTGTTTTAATGAAAGTTTGTAACTTAAATTTGTGTTTCATATAAAAAGAAAAATTATAAAGTGCTCTTATTGTAGAATTTGGTTAGTAAATGTGTTGAGACAGACTTGTTGTATCTACTCAGCTTTTTTTGTTCAAAATATTTTGGATGTGTTATTTAAAGTGTGAAGACAGCAATTTATTCCTATGGTAAATGGATGCTATATGTGCAATGCTTTTGATTTCTTATCTCAGTTATAGGAGAAACAAAGACTTCCGTAGCTTCTGGAAATGAGCATATTGGGGAGAAGCAATTATCGGATGTCTTAGTTAATTGGCGAAACTTCTTATAAGAAGATGGAGTCCAAAATAGTAAAGGAGCCACGCACAGTTCCAACAATGAGGCACTCATCTCCTATTTCCAGTCCAGGCAAGGGATATGACTTACAAATTATTATTTTATTTATTTTGGAACTGCAGAATTGGTTATACTTTAAGTCTTCTTTTAAGTTTAATAAAATTGGTAAAATATTTAGGTGTTATTTTTTAGTGTCCAATTCTTTCCTAACAAGTTAAGAGTATATATCTTCGCAACATCGTAATTGTAGAACAGTTGTGACTGTGGTTGGTAATTTTGTTGCCTTGTCATTTATTGAACCTACCTTCCTTCCTTTATGTGGTAACACTTGTGTTGTTGAACATAATCATGCAGATAGTGAAAAAAGAGATCTCGTGAATATTTTTGCTAGTCTCAGTCTAAAGCCTTCGAATCTTCCTGCTCGAGATGCTCCTTGGAAGAGTGGGTAACTTCTCCTTTTAAGATGTTACATATGTGTTTTCTATCATGATTTCAACAACTCATGTTGTGATTTGAATTAGAGTTAATATATTGTTTGGTATTAGAAGATGATCAGAAAAATGTTGCTTGAGAATATGTGTGTGTTTATTTTTTTTTCAACTTAAATCTTCTAGTGGGATCGCTTTTGCATCCTACGTTGATGTTCTGAATGCACTGTTTCGTCATGGCTACTGTTTTACATATTTACATGTATCAAGTTAATTAAGTGCTCTCAAAAGCTTCATTGATGTTTCTTTCTTTAGGGGAGGCTTCATCCTTGATGCAGCCACACCTGGAGAATTCATTGGTGGGTTCCAAGCACGACCTTCATGTAAGGTCCATCCTAAAGCCTATGCATTTTCACAAAAAATGCCTCTCATCCTCAATGCTAACTGGTTTCCTCGATCCAATCTTTGGGCTGATATCTTCCAAGACGATGACCCGTCCTTGAAGATGTTGCCCTTTACTTTTTCCCTGATGTAAACATTGAGAGCTCTTTTCTGTCTTCTGGTTGAATGGTTTTGATATTTGAGTTATGTGGGTGATGCAACTATCATAAGGAGATGTTGCCCTTCTCCAATAATTTGTTCAAGTCCTTCTTGGATAACGATGGGGAAGTTGGATCCACAATCCCCATGACATTGAGCAGAGCAGAGCCTAAGCTGCATAATTTGGGGGATGACATTAAAAATGATGCTCTTATGTCCAAGTGCACCTCTGTGGGGAGGATGGTCTGCGGCATGGAAATTGATTTTCGCAAAGTGTTTGATATGATTCTCCAAGTGGCTGTGGATGGGAATTTGAGGCCAGATCAGATGGACAAGAGGGTGTTTTGGCTCCCCGTTTGGAAAACTTTGATAGGGCTGGTGGTAGTTGCTGGGAGTAGGATTATGAGGCATTACAAAAAAATCTCAAGGAGAAAGGCTAAGGTGATGCAATGCCACATATTGTGTTTTGGCATCTTGACCCCTACGAGACGGTGCCCGTGTCTTGTCGTCGGCGACCACGGGTGGCCATAATTTGTTCAAGTCCTTGGATAATGATGGGGAAGTTGGCCTGCACCATGTCATGGAAGCAGCCATCTTTGGCCTACGGTATCAAAATTTAGTTGTAGTCGACTGAGCGACTCCTTATTGTGACAACAATTTCTAAATTTTTGCATTCTATCAAAAGTTTTTCTCATTAGATCAGCTTTTAGCTTGTAACTTGCTTGGTTGACTTGTCTCACATAAGATCAAGGTTCTTAGTTATGATGCCAATATGGAGCTGTGCTACTTTCTGGCATGAGTTTGGAAGCCTTTTATCCAGCTACTGATGATGGTTTCTGTACTATGATTGGAGAAGGATCTGGAGCAGGGTACAACATTAATGCCCCCTGGGAAAATGGTCGGTGTGGGGACGCAGACTATTTTGCTGTTCGGGACCATATTTTGGTTCCTGACTTAATTAGGGTTATTCGCAGCAATGGTCCCTCAACTATACCCCAAGTTACACTCTGGTCACTCAACTCAAATATTAGTTGCAGAGGTCACTTAATTAGGTGTTCTGTTGCACCGTTAATCCTACCGTCAAGTCTGTTACTTTTTCTATTTAAAATGATGGCGTGGCAAGCATCTCTTAGATAATGATGGGCAAATGTGACTTTTCAGTTAAGATTATTTGTAGCAATGATCCCTTAACTATACTCGGAGTTACATTTTGGTCACTCAAGTAGGTGTTGTGTTGCACCATTAGTCCCTACCGTTAGAGAGACTTAACGGTGCAAACAAAACACCTAATTGAGTAACTTCTGCAACTAATATTTGAGTTGAGTGACCAAAGTGTAACTTGGGGTATAGTTGAGGGACCATTGTTGCGAATAATCCTTAAAAAAAATAACCGTAGTACAGCCGTCCGGCTATACGATTTAAAAATTTAAAAAAAAAAAATCCAGAGTCTAGCCGCGCGGCTATACTATTTACAGGAAAAAGGGACCTGCCTAGCGCCTTGGTGCCCACATGTCAAGATAAGTATAGCCGCGAGGCGATACTATATTTTTTTATAAAAATTACAGTAGTACAGCCGCACGGCTAGCCGAACAGCTATAATATTTATAGAAAAAAAAGGGGAGGAACCACGTGTCAAAATAAGTGTAGCCGAGCGGCGATACTATTTTTGGCAAAAATATTTTATTTAAAAGGTTTGTAATTTTGACTTGTTTTAGCAATAAGTCCATTTTAGCATGATATATTATACAATTACCCAAATAGAGCCTATTTGGAGAGACTCAAAACTAGCCACTTGTCATTTTCTAATTGGTTCTTAGTGTGTTAAATTTTTTTCTAAAACCAATTAGAAAATAACAAGTGGCTAATTTTGGATTTTCCTCAAAATAGGCTTTATACGGGTAATTGTATGTCATGCTAAAATGCCTATTAATGAAATGCCCTAAATTCTTATGGTATATTTTAGTTATCGATCTTATAAAATTATGTTATTATATACCACATTCGTAAATTACTTATTGAGCTTAAACAAAAGGTCTCAAATTGAAACTACAGGACCATAATGAAAAATGGCCAAAATAAAATCATGTACATGTTGAACATGGAAAACACCCTCAAATATGAATGCGTCCTGGTTCCGACGGCAATGTCCCATAGATTCGGCTACTGTAGAGCACTCACTGATTTATGGGAACATAATGTATAGCAGCCAGTACACTAATCTCTACTGGCAGTGACCATTTGATCTGAAAACTTTAGAGATATTTAGTCAAATACCTATTCTTAGCACTAAAATTATAAATAAACCTTACACTATTTAATTTCTATAAACAAACCCAAAAAAAAACCCTAAAAAATGACAATTGGCCCTATTGAATTTAATTTTGATTATTAAATTACTTTGATGCCCTATTGAGTGTTTTGGTCTTTTTTATATGGTTTGGGGTTGGGTTTGTTTTAAGAAATCAATGGTAGTTTTGTAATTTAAAAGAAGTTAAAAACCTTTTTGTTATGTTGTAAATGAGTTTTGGGTATGTTTCTAAAGTCCATTTTATATAGGGTTTTTTTTTATAATTTGGGCTCTTATATTGGGTATAATAGTGAATCTCCCAAAACTTTAAGGTTAGTTTTTGGTACAGAGTTTGTAAGGGATTTTTTTTTCCCCCCCTCTCTTACTTCCAAGTCAGATGGGCATTTTGCAACCACCGAGTACATCAATAGCCCACACGGGGGTATTTTCAAAAAAGCAAATGCCCAAGTCAAGATTGTAGCTCCATCTTGCAAGACAGTCAGCAAGATAATTCTTCTCTCTGTAGACATGTTGAATCTGATAGTTCTCAAGCTGCCTTAGGAGAGTACCGCAGCTATGCAGCAGGCCAGCCAGAGGATGAAAGCGGTAAGCCACAGTTTGCTGGATTAGCTGGACACTAAGTGCAGAGTCCATTTCAATGATGAGCATGTTGACACCTTTATCCAAAGCCATTTTGAGACCAAAAAATAGACCCCATAATTCAGCTTCAAGAACTTGACCAATTCCCAAATTCACAGCAAAACCCCTAATCCAATTTCCAGATGAGTCGCGGAGGACACCTCCAGCTCCAATATTACCCGATGCAGGTTTACAAGAACCATCCACGTTCAATTTGAAGATTCCAGTATTAGGAGGTTCCCACTTCAAAAAAATCTGCACTTTTTCTCCGGCTGTAGTATCACCGCAGGATGCCTTATCCCAGTCAGAGAGGGCTAATAAGATAACATGCCTTGGGTTGAGGGGCGTCACCTCCTCAGCAGTAAAAATAGATTGGTTTCTCCATTTCCATAGATACCAACAGATGAAAACAAATATAGAGCACCAAGAGGTACTGCTAGACCAACTAGCCTTGGAGAGGATATTATTCTTTAACCAAGGATGGAAGTCAGTATAGAAGAAATTAGCTTGCTGGCGGGGGGGTAAAAAATAACTCCAGACCTCCCTGGCTTTAGGACAGTCTCTAAGAATGTGGAGAGTAGTTTCATGGGGCCAATCACAAATAGAGCAGGAAGGATCAGTAGATAAATTCCTTCTAACTCTCTGATCATTGGTTAAGATTTTATCGTAGAAGACAAGCCAGAGGAAAATAATCAACTTGGGGGGGAGATTCTCCTGCCACAGAACCTTCCAAAACGGATCATTCCAAGAAGAATCTCCAAAGAGTAGTTGATAGGCAGATTTAACAGTGTACACTCCATTAGCAGTATGTTTCCAAATCCGTGAGTCTTGCAGGTTGCTATTAAAACCAGCAGGAAAACTAATAATCTTCTGTACTACCCATTCAGGAACAACATTTCTCAGCCTCTCAATATCCCACCAGCCATGCCTAAAGAAGCTTGACACATGGCAATCAAGGTCCAGCACATCCCCAATCTGCTCATATTGGGCCAGAGGTAAATCAGATAGCCATTTGTCTAGCCAGAATTTCACTTAGAAATGCTTCATTCCCTCTGCAATCACCACAAAAAC